TTTACATTGTTAGTTACTTTCTGTGTGAAGAGGTGAACATGAAACCCTTCTGTGGATGCAGGGCCTTGAATGTGTCTCCTCCAGAGATGGTCCAGCAGCCTGTAGTCCTGTGCTGGGATCTGCTGAGACAGTGGTGGTCCACACCTGGCCCAGCTCGGGTGGCAGGGAGGCCCAGATGTATAGGCCATGTCCAGCTGTGCTCACATGCCAGGGCTGGACTGTGGATCCCTCTCAAGAAAAACACAGATTCCCAGTTCAAAGGTGGCCTTACCTCAGCGTGCTTGGCCTAGCAGAACTTCCAAGGATAAATGGATTCTTAAAGGATTCCTCTCAATCTGATTTGCCATAAATCATTGTCATTAGCTAAATAACATGGCCACTTAGTCTAACAACAGTTAGCAATCAATTATGGCTTTGGGAAGCTTTGAAAAAATATCAACTCTATAAATTAAAGATTGAAATTATAGACATGAATATTTAATGCTCAGGCCTTCTTTTTCTTCATGAAGCATTTACCATTTCCCTTAGGGGTTCCTTCTCTATTCATTATATTGTTGACTAAATAAGGTATTTATTTAGTTTTCAAATCATTAATAAATAAGATAAATTAATGAAAGTACCTTCTAAAGGCAAAGAGTAGGTGAAAAATGCCTAGGTCTAGCAGATGATTAATGAGTATTTATTGGTGCTTATCTGTCTCATTTCTTTCTCTCACTAAAAATTTCTTCACCTAGAATTTGATAAAACATAGATTTCCATGGGCCAAATTATTGGGCTCATATGTTTGCAAAACCCGTGCCTTGGATTACCTACCAGCCAACAGAAGGATCAGGTTGCACTTGGAAATATAGAAACTAAATTTACCCTCTACTGTTTCTCTCATAACTATTTTATGTCTTTGTTGAAATTTAACAGAAAATCAATTAAAAATAACAAGGAGGCTATTTGGATATTTGGGGCTGCATGAAATCTGACACCTATTTTTCATTCAGCATGTATAATAATCAACTGCTATCCATAAGACCTGGAAACTTCTTTATCTGTTTTTTATTTAGTTTTATTATTTTTCCCTTGCCTGTGAACTCCCGGAACTCTCCTCTTTCCTTTCCTCAATATTATGGTCATTGGGTGAGGGACAAGCTTTAAACAATGCTAGGGTAGAAGTATGGAGGGTCTATGTGAATAGT